CAGCAGCAGCAGCAGCAGCAGCAGCAGCAGCAGCAGCAGCAGCAGCAGCAGCAGCAGCAGCAGCAGCAGCAGCAGCAGCAAAATGGGTATAGTGCCTGGCGATTTAGATATGTTAAAGCTGATGTACCCCAACTTTGCTGCTGCTGCAGCAGGAGACCCTCCGCAGCGAGGGGCCCCCGTTGCTGCTTTTGATGCATTTTGCTTCGACAGAAAGACGCTGCTGCTGCCTCCCCCCTACAGCTGCTGCTGCAGCAGCAGCAGCAGCAGCAGCAGCTGCTGCTGCTGCTGCTGGGATCGGATCCCCGTGCGAAAACTCTCCAACACCTACCGCGAGACCCACGACTTCCAGGAGAGGGGGGGGCCCCCCGAAGAGGGTACAGCGGGTTTGGGGGCCCCCCAAAAGAAGTATAGAGAGTGAGTCCAGGGCTTAGGGTTTAGGGTTTACCTTTTAGGGTTTAGGGTTTAGGGTTTAGGGTTTAGGGTTTACGGGTTCTCCTCTTTCCTTTGCAGCCCCACCGCTCTCTTCTACACAGTCCCTTCGGCTGACCAGCCATACCCCTCGGGGGCCCCAGGGGGCCCCCCAGGGGCCCCCTGGGGGCCCCCTGGGGCCTCTAGGGGGCCCGCTGGGGCCCCCTGGGGGACCCCTGGGGCCTCCTGGGGGCCCCCTGGGGGCCCCTCGGGGCCCCCGACAGAAATGCCAAATGGGCGGCCTCCTGCACCAGTGCCCCCTTACCTTGTGGACTCCAGTGAGGGTTGGGGGCCCCCACCCACTAGCACTTTAGGGGCCCCCACGGGGGCCCCCACAGGGGCCCTCAAGGGGGCCCCCACGGGGGCCCCCATGGGGGCCCCCGTGAAGGCCCCCCAGCGCGTGCGCTTCGCCGAGAGCAGCAGCAGCGCCGGGACCTACGGGGAGAACTCTTGGGGGGCCCCCAGTGGGGGCCCCACCGTGGGGGCCCCCTCTGCAGCGCCTTGGGGGGCCCCCTGGGGGCCCCCCCCTGCGGGGGGGCCCCCCCTAAGACCCTCTTTGAAGCCCCGCCGCATAACAGCCCCATTTGTGTGCCGCGCCCACAATGGCCGGCATTTGCATTTGATAGATTTGGATGCCTTTGAGGACTCTAGCCTGTGTGTGGGCCGGGGGGCCCCCCTGGGGGGCCCCCAGGGGGCCCCCCTGGGGGCCCCCCTGGGGGGCCCCCCGGGGGCCCCCAGAGGCCGCGGGTACCTAAGAGGGGTCCACTTGCCGGGCTGCAGCAGCACCCCTTTGCGCCTGCGGCGCTGCGGGTGGAACGAAGCAGAAATTGTGGCGGAGGCTGCAGCCCCCTAGTGCATGCGCATGCACTGGGGGCCCCCCCAGGGGCCCCCAGATGTAGGGGCCCCAAGGGGCCCCCGGGGGGCCCCCGGGGGGCCCCCACAGCCGCCCCAGAGGGGCCCCAGGGGCCCCTTGCACTGGCCAAGGGGCCTGAAGTTAAGAACCTGTTTGGGGTCTTTTGTTTTCTCGTGTTTCTGCTGCTTGTTGGTGCTAGTTGGAGTGTATGTACACCCCAGCTGGCTGTCTGTACACCGCAGCGGCTCTGCGGCTTTATTTAACTTCAGTTTCCACTTTCCCAAATGCATGCAGTGTACATACACCCCGCTGCTGCTGCCCACGCTGCTGCGCGTACACCGGAAGCTGCGCATACACCCCAAGAGCGCTGCAGCGCTGCGCGGGAGGTGTACGTACACCGCAGAGGCAGCAGGCAGCGCCTTCGGGGCTTCTTTTGCACTTGATTGCATGCAGCTGAAGTCTTGTCGGTTCAGAACTTTAATTAGGACATTAGGACTGGTTTTTGCCTTTAAATGCATGCAAAAAGAGTGAAAATGCAGCTATTAAATGCAGCTATTTGTGCGCAAATTTAAATAAATAAACTTTTAATTGGTGCATGCGCGGAAACTCCACAAAAGGCTGGGGTGTACAGACAGCTCAGTGTTTCAAGGTGAGCCACGCTGGGGTGTACAGACAGCTCAGTGGCTCTGCCTCTCATTCCCTGAAGTGCAAATAAATGCAATCTTGTGCAGACACAAACAAAAAGCATAAATAAAAGAATATTTATATTTATTTATTGATATATTTGCATTTATTTGCATGCATTTCCTTCCATGGGCTGCATGCAAGCTGAATGCGCAGCTCAAGCGGCGTACATACAGCGCCTGCGTGCGGTGTACGTACACCCCACGAACCCCCGTCGAGCTGCGCACTCGAGTGTACATACATCACTTTTTTTAAAATCATTTTAGTCCATTTAAGAGGGCATTTGGGCTCTTCAAATGCGGGACTTTTCCCCATGTTTTCCAGGACAAAATGAAATAATGCAAAGTGAAATTTAAAGGACTTTTAAAGGACTTTTCGGCTCCAAAAAGCCTCCAAAACAAAACTGAAAAATGCAAGATGAAATCTTACAAACTTTTGCTGCCCCACAGAGTGGGGGGGCAGTTGTGGGCTTCCCTGTAGCTAGCTGTAGCTAGCTGTAGCTAGCTGTGGCTAGCTGGGGCTACCGCTGGCCCTGGCTTGCTGGGGCTTGCTGGGGCTAGCTGGGGCTAGCTGGGGCTAGCCATGGCTAGCTGTGGGGGCATTGTGTGCAGCAGTTGGGGCTAATTTTGGCTAGCTGTGGCTAGCCAGGAGTACTCCAAGTAAATAGGGACTTGGGGGCTCTTTGATGGCCCTGAGCAGCTAGCAGCAGCAGCAGCAGCAGCAGCAGCAGCAGCAGAACGCGCAGCAGTAGCAGCGTAGCAAGCAGTATATCCGGCAACTGCCGAGGCAGCAGCAGGCGCAGGTGCAGCAGCAGCCGCAGCGAATAGAGACGCAGCAGCAGCAGCGCAGCAGCAGCAGCAGCAGCAGCAAAGTACAGAGGCGTTGTAGTAACAACAGTAGCAGCGCAGCAGCACAAGAAAGCGCAGCCTCTGCTGCAGCAGCATCAGCAGCCCTTCCAGCAGCAGCAGCAGCTGCTACTGCCTTTGCTGCAGCAGCAGCAGCAGCAGCAGCAGCAGCAGGAGGGCTCAGGCGCACGGGCGAGGCTGGGCCTTGCTCGTGGCCAGCAGCACTGAGAATGTGCTTTCGTTTTTAATTTTAAAAAGTCCCAAATGTCTTTTATTTTCTTTAACAGTTTCCCGCGGCCCCCGCGGGTAAGCCGAGCTGCAGCAGCTCCAAAAGAAGCCCCTGAAGAGAAAAAGCTGCAGAAGTTCTTAAGAAAAGCTGCAGCAAATAGTTTGCTGCTGCTGCTGCTGGCCCCGGGGGCTTTTGCTGCAGCAGCAGCGCAAGCGGGCGAAGCTGTCTCAGTGTGCTGTGGGTGGTGGGCCATGGGAAAGCGGCGCTGCTGGCCCCTAAATGCGCAATTGCGGGGAAAGCCCCTTCAAATTGAAGAAAAAATAAGAAATAAAAATGAATTAAATAATAATTTGTTCAGTTCTTTCGCTGGAGCGAAGGCAGGCGAGGGTTCTGCACAGCGTTTTGCACAGCCTCGAAAGCCGATTCGGTTCTCGTGCTGCTGCTGCCGCGGGCTTGCAGAAACCCCGCGGGGAATGTTTCCTTCTTTTCTTTAAATGAATTAATTTGCATTTTAATTTCCAAATTAGCTGCAAACGCCTTTCGTTTCCGGTCCGCAGAGCTGCACAGACACCCCAAGTGCCGCAGTCAGGACCCGCCTCGCTGGACACGGCGCTCGAAGCAGCCGCCAGTTTTGCGTTTTTCTTCTTTTTTTCGCGCGACAAAGGCTTTAAAATTCGTGGAGAGTTCAGAAAAAGGTGTTTTGAAGACAGAAGACAGCGGGGAGGAGCCCGCGGGCTTGCGCAAAGCCGACCCGTTCAAGTTTCCGCATTCACGTTTGCAGCGCCGCCGGCTGCGCGCCGCCGATCTTCCACCTTCGCGGGCTTTTTTCGCTCTTTTTGAACTTGAAATTGATTTGAAGTGATTTAAACTGCATTTGGGGAAGCTTTGGGGGCCTTTGGACCCGAAAAAGCGCCCGAAACCGCGCCAGATCGCCCGAGCCGCCGCAGCCGCCATGAAGCAAAAGGAAGCCAAACAGCCCCCCCTGGCCCTCCCGGGGGGCCCCCAGGGGCCCCAGGGCCACGTGCTGCACGGGGCGGACGACAGCATAGTGTGCGTCTCGGCTGGAGCCACTCCGCTGCACATGTGTGCAGCAGCAGAAGAAATGGACATGGGCTCTGTTGCTGCGCTGCAGCAGCAGCAGCAGCCGCACGAGGGCCACTCCCAGCCCGTCACGACGGCCCTCTCGGCCATCCAGCGGGCAGCTCGGCAGCTGGGGCCCTCCGGGGGGGGCCCCCCGGGGGGCCCCCCGGAGGAGTGTGGGGCCCTCGCCGAGTTCAGCGCCCCCGCTGCAGCAGCAGCAGCAGCAGCAGCAGCAGCAGGCAGCTGCGGGGACTACTCAGAGACGCCGCTGCCGGAGATGAAGGCGACGCTGCTGCGGTGTCTGCGGAGGGAAGAGGGGGAGGCCCCCGGGGGGCCCCCGGGGGCCCCAGGGCCCCCGTTTTGGTCATCATCATGGGGGGCACAATCTGCATGGACTACGGGTACAAAAATGCCTGCCTGAGGCCTGCAAGGCTGGGCAGAAGACTTGCGAATTGTGAAGAACTTCAAAAAGATAATTTGCCAAGATTTGATATTTTGGAATGGGACAATTTGGTGGACAGCAGCGACATTGGCAAGGAGGAATACGTGGCCCTGGCGCTGCAGATCGAGGCCTTCTACGAGGACTACGACGGGTGCAACCCCCAGGGTTTAGGGTTTAGGGTTTAGGGTTTAGGGTTTAGGGTTTGGGGTCTGGGGTTTGGGGTTTGGGGCTTGGGGTTCGGGGTGGCCTAGGGGTTCGGCGCGGGGGGAGGCTGCAGGGCGCAGGGGTTCAGGTGCTAGGGTTTAGGGTTTAGGGTTTAGGGTTTAGGGTTTAGGGTTTAGGGTTTAGGGTTTAGGGTTTGGGTTTGCAGGTTCGTGGTGCTGCACGGGACGGACACGATGGCCTACACAGCTTCGGTGTTGAGTTTTATGTTGGAGAACTTGCGGAAAGCTGTAGTGCTGACTGGGGCGACTTTGCCTCTGAGTGAGTTTTTTTGAATTTTTTGAATTATTTTGTTTATTTTATTTATTTATTTAATTTATTTATTTATTTTATTTATTTATTTATTTATTTATTTATTTATTTTGTTTATTTTGTTTGTTTTCTGCCTCCGAGTTGCCTTTTTTTCGCCATTTGCGTGCGCGTCTTGATTGTGTTGGTTGATTTCTTCCTTTTATTTGCAAATTCGTTCAATTTGCATTTCTTTTATTTTATTTTAATTTAATTTGCATTTCTTTTGTTTTATTTTAATTTAATTTGCATTTATTTTATTTTATTTTAATTCAATTTGCATTTCTGCTTCTTCCCGCTGCACTTGCATTCTGAGTTGCATTCATCTTGTTCAAGTTTCGCTTCGACCTGCGCAACTTCCGTTCAAATTAATTGAAATAATGAATTAAATGAAGGAATTAAATAAATTAAATAAATTAAATGAATGAATTAATTAAATGAATGAATTAAATAAATGAATTAAATGAATGAATCGAATGAAATGAAGGAATTGAATGCCGCGAACACCTGTTTCCGAAAAGTTGAATTTTGTGAATTTGTTGAATTTTGGTTGATTTTTCATGATTTTTCTTCATTTTTTCTCCATTTTTTGATAATTTTCCATTTTTGGGATGAATTTATAGATTAGGGTTTAATATTTTGCGTGTCGGGCTTTCAAACGCGGAGATTTCGTGCGTTTTGGGGCTGCAGTGCACATATCGAGCGACGCGAAGCGGAACGTGGGCCTGAGTTTGCTGCTGGCGGCCTACGGGTCTTTGGGGGAAGTGGTGGTGCTCTTTGGCTCCCAAGTGCTGCGGGGAACCCGCTGCAGCAAAGCCTGCTGCAGCAGCATGGAGGCCTTCAGTTCTCCGAACTTCCCAGCTCTTGGAAGCATCGGAGTGGACCTCGTGATCCACGACCGGCTGAGGGCCCCCCCCCCCCCCCCCGGGC